GCAGATTTTCATGACCTCTAGTCCTCTCCCCAAAACATCCTTCTAGACCTGGGAGGGTCACTGATGACACATTCTCTGGTCATTTTGTTTGTTTTTGCTTAAAGAGTCTCCCAAAATTGTATAAGCTGGCTCTGTTCTTGCCCATCACTCTGTGTTGAGAGTCACCATGGACGGACTTTGTAAGTTTTTTGTTTTTCTCTGTTTCCAAAAGCATCCTCACCACCTCAGTATTTCTGAGAAGTGCATTCAAATACTATAAATATGGGTTTGTCAAAGGCTCTTTCCAAAAATTCTGAGCTCCACTGCTTGCTAAAACACGTATCCATATACTCTGTGCTCATTTTCCCCAACACAGTTCAGTGCATCAGGAATGGACCCCCCTATTCACCTGCTCCTTGGGCACAGCCTCTGACAGGCTACCCTCCTGCCCCAGGCTGACAAACTCGGAAGACTGGGCTCACTCCAGACAAACACAAACCCGGCTACTGAGGCAAAGAAAAGCCTGAACCAGTGAAAACATTGGAAGGAGTTTAGTCCACATTAGTCAAGGTGAAATTTCTTTACAGACGATACAGGGCCGTTCACTCATGACATTACTGGAGACTGAGTATGCTCAGTTAGCAATAAAGAATTTTAATGACACTTACTGAATTACAAGAATCCATGTCCACTGAAATAACAAGACTCATGAAAAACAAAACCCTCGAGAAGAGACATATGACAAATACATTTACTTAAATAAATGCTCGTGGGGCGCCTGGGTGGTGCGGTCAGTTAAGCAGCCAACTCTTGACTTTGGCTGAGATCATGATCTCAGGGTCATGGGATCGAGCCCCGCATGGGGCTCTGTGCTGAGTGGGGAGTCTGCTTAAGACTCTTTGCCTCTCCCTCTGCCCCTCCCACACGTGTGCCCATGCAGTGTCTCTAAAAAAATAAATAAATGCTTGTGATTTTATACTTCTTAGCAATTATAGCATTATGTCCAGTTACTAAGTTCTGATGCATATTTTTTATTCCAAATTATTAAGGCTAATCATATCACGAGGTTAGGATGATTCATAGACTACAAGAGCCTCACTATTATATCAAACTGTGCCTGTTATTTATATTTCAAAAGGATAATACTGTGTGATATTTCTATTACAGGATTATATTAATGCACTTTCATCAAAGAAGATACAGTAAGGCTTTAGCACATACAGAAGCCAAGGTTCCAATGAAGGAAGGGTGCAATTCTGGTACAAATCTTCAAACTGAGGTGCTGGCACTTTTATTGCTTAGGTCAGGCACCACGTAGTCCATGAAGATCATGGGTTGGTTTCCCATGGCGGCCAGCAAAATGGCCTTGATCCACACCCCCAGTCATGGTCAGACATCTCTCCCATGTAAGTAGGATTTACTGGGGGAAAGGACAGGTGTCGATATATAAAAACAAATCCAGATGCTCACTCCTAGAGCAGCAATTCAAAGTGTGTACCCCACCTGTAGTGGACCAGAAATATATCTTTCTTTCTTGCAACAAGAAGGGCACTTTTGACGGGAAGGAATCACAAGGAAGCTTCTAAAAAAAATTACAAGTACTGAGATTTAACAAAGTGAAAACAAGTCAGTCATACTTACTAAACTGAATCCCTGGATCTGCAAAAATGTCATCATTCATATCAAATAATCACCACCAATGCCTGAAATTTCTAACATATGCTTCAGTCCTTTTTTGGTGGAGATGGAAAGGGGGCAGCAACCCATCAGCTATAGCTTATACTTTACTTACATGGGGACAATAATGCAGCTGTGAATTACCTGTCAATTGTGTTGTTCCCAAGTGGGGAGGGGGTACACATTACCCCTCAGAGTGATGCACAATCCGGGAAACAGGTTTACAACATTAAATACACAATCAAAATGTTGACATTTTCATACTCAGATTATGTCTCTTCTTCCTCCCAAAGGGTCTTGGAATTCATAAAGGAATCGTGGATTCACAAGGATGATTCTAAAGCGAAGAGCTATCACCTTCTTCCATTTGTGGCTCTGGTTAGGAAGTGAAGGAGCCAACAACAGCCTACGTAACAACTTCCAGAAAGCAGGGCTCTAACTTGGGATCTATATTCTAACTTCCCTCTTGGGTTATTTAAGAGGACAGATCCATATTAGAACACTCTCGTCTTGACTCAGGACAGACAGTTCTAGAAGGCAGACCAGGGAGATGTTCACATTTTTTAAAAAATATCGGGTCCTAAGCCATATTTTGGAGAACGCAACTTGCTTCATCTTCAAAAAGACAGAGAATACAGAGCAACAAAACAAGCTCATGGTCATGGTCATTTAAAAACATTTTCCCTCCTGTGTGTCATCTTCCTGATATAAAATTTCCCACTGATTAAAAAGATTCGTATCTCACATGTGTAATCGCTGAGATGTCAAATCTTTCAAGCAAGTCCTGTTCCTTGAGAGGATCTCTTAGGCTGGAACCTCCCCCGGGGCTAACCCCTGGCTGACCGATTTACTACTGAGAACCTGCTCTAAAGAGAGTAACTATGTCTTTGGGTCCATCTGGGGAGAAGATCTTTGTCTTTTTTTATTCATACACAACTCTCATTAATTTCTTATTAGTGCTCAAGAATATTTCGTTTTTGTTCATTTTAAAGTCCTGTCTGAAAGGATTATTTGAGTTTTGAAAACACTAAAACGGGGGGGAGGGGAGGGCAGGAGGATATCCAACAAAAACCTTGAGCAATACTGATGTTCATGATTTCTTGTTTGTACCTTAAATCCCACACTGCTGGCAAACTCCTCTAGAATTTCTCAAATGATGGGGCAGAACAAAAAAGACCCCTCTACTTTGACTTAGTAATAACAGATTACAAATACATGTTGATGTACCTTGCTTGTACACACATATAACACACACTTCCCAAATATGCAGGAGTTAAAGAAACACTGAATTGGTCAAACTAGCTAATCTAGACATGAGATTCATTCACCATTTACTTCTACTGTTACAAATGACGCGACCAGATGAGATTACTGAGAAATTATCAAAGGCAATCTGTGTGGTCTCTATGAATCTTTAAATCTGCAAAGTCATTTAACTATATACTCGACACCTGAAGAGTGTCATCTTTGTGGTGATCTGATCAAGGACTTTAACTTTAGTATCTAAAATGTCCTTAGCAATGCAAATGTACATAGGTTCTTTAATTTATTGAACTTTTTGCAAGAGTACTAAATACACCTAAACAAACAGAGGCTGAAAAGCGAAAACTAGCATCAGCATCTGGAGAGTCAGCCAGAGACCCAGAGAGACTCAGCCTGGAGACACAGCCGGTTTCAGACATTAGTATCTGCATGGATATTCAGACGCGGAGCATCCCAGAGCATGTGACTCCTAAGAAGGATGTTCAGCGTGAAAGAACCTGATACCTCCGTGGATTTCAGGGAGTAAAATACTAACTGAAAATAAATAAATACCAAAACAACTGATCTTGGCAATATGCTGTAATCCCAACTAAGGAGACGAGAAAGGCTACAGGGCACTCTGCTTTCTCTCGTGGGAAGGATTTTTGAAGCCACGTTTCCTTTAAGTAGGAGTGACCTCCAGTGACTTTTTAATGGTACCTCAGAGTAGTACGTTGAATCATTCTACAATTTATTAATATCAACAAATCATTTAGTAATGGTCCCCATTTTTAATTTCTTAGCTAAATGACAAGTGCTCTATTGCAGGATCTAAGGATTTGATTTTATGTAAATGCTCCCCATTTTAATTAATTCAGAGCAGTTGTCGCACCAAGCTAAATTAAAATTGTGTCTGAAACACAGGGCAGTATTTGCTTAACGGAGATTAAGGCTCATTTTTAGGAGTGACTCATACCCAATATGGCATTAAGTGAGCTGATACTAGATGATGACACCACTAAATCATCACAGCCCTGCGGCATCCATGGATGAATGAGTGGGAGAGTGACTTTATGTGTAATGCCTTTTCACTTTAGCAAACTTCCCAGTGAGGGCAGAGTTGGACCCCCAAGAGCTAAATGTGGATACCCAACAGCAAGGTCAGTTTCTGAACAAGCCTGCTAGCCCTTTCTTGAAACACACACTAGCTTGTCCTAAGTAAGCCCTACACCTGATTTTTTTTTTTTTAATTTTTTTTTTTTCTTGAAGGGAATGGGGCAGGGAGAGAGGACAAGGGGGACTTTCTTAAAACCCCTCAAGGAAAGAAAAGCCCCGGATGGAGATTTCAATCTGAACAACCCTCTGAAAACTTTTTCTGAGGTTCAGACTCAGGTGGGCTGAGTCCATGCGGCTAGTAGCATCTTTAAGATCGGACTCAGCGCGAGCTAGCCCAGCACCCAGAGGCTAATGTATGTAGCCCCGGTGAACCTACAAAATCAGAAGCACACACATCACAACATGCAAAGCATGGACATAAAATGAGCCCGGAGGGCAGGCTGCTTTCCCTCTACCCGTGAGGGGTCCGGCTCTCCCGAGTTGCGGGGGCCGTCCAGGGCAGGGTGGGCTGCGCTGCGGCCCCGGATTCCGCAGAGCGCCCACTGCAAACGCGTGCGCTAATGCAGGACCCGCCGCTTCCCACGGACACAGTTCCTACAGAACGCATTTACACCAGAAGGAGATAAATGACCACGGCCGGCCTGCTGGCCTCCCCTCATCGGAAGCTATTCTCTCGCTGGATTCTCCGCGTCTCCGTATTCTCATGCTGATTTTTAGGCATCACTAGAACTTGAGCTTTCTCAAAGAAGATGCAGCTCACAGACAAAAAGTCAAATACAGGTTTTGCTGTATTTCAGACTTGGCAGGAGGAAAAAGCATGATAAACCATCCTATCTTGGCGCTGGTACTTGGGGATGTGTTTTTTTTTTTTTAAATGCCTTATTTTCAAAAACACGCCAGCGATTCCCTTCTGCAAATATTCGTTACTAATAAAAACACAAATTCTAAGTTGTCAATGCAAGTTTTAAAAGATGTGCTGTACTCACAAGTATTCCCTGCCACTACTGGGCTCCAGGGCCGAGCAGACAAAAGAAAGAGCATCCCGAGGAAGGCTCCCGCGGCGGGGTCCATGGTCCCCCGCCCCAGGACCCGAGGCGTCCGGCAGCGGCTCCGCGCGGGCCTGGCCGCTCGCTCCCGGCCGGGGTCGCGCTGCCTCCTCCGCG